TTGAATTTTTTCAACTCCAATTGAGATTGTTGTGAATTTTGAATTCGCGTTTTGATTATCTAAGTCCCTGTAAGACGGATTTGACTGATTTTTACAGTGAATATCCGCGTCACTACCAATAATATGTGGTGCAACTTCTAGCTCAGGAACTTCTGGAACTTTGGAGAAATCTGATTTTGTAGCAAAAATGACATCTCTTGTGACCCAAATTTCCTGTGTGAGAGTGTCCAAAATGCGAAAGTTGTTTGTACCTTCTTGGTAACCAAGTAGTTGTCCCTCGCGATAGCGTTGCGCAAGTTTATTGCTTTGTTTATGGTCACGGTGGTAGACTTTACACCCAAATGGTTGAAGATGAGAAAGTCGCTTTTCACTTTTGTACCAAATGTCATCTGGAACTTGTCGCTTTGGACCGCCAGGACATCGATTACGAGTATAAGCAATGTAATTTGCTGCTTCTGCCCAGTACTTAGCAGGAAGCCCAGAATGCGCCAGGACTGTGCGAACTCCATTGAGAATAGTAAGATGAAGTCGTTCTGCACGACCATTTTGTGTATGCGCATCTGGAGGTACTTGGATGTGTTGAATACCATGTGTTGCGCAAAAGTTCCTCATTGCCATAGAACTAAATTCTCCACCATTATCAGAGCGAAGTGTTTTAACTTTAGTGTCAAGTTGTCTTTCTACTTTTGCGATATGGTGTTGTAATTGCGCAAAAGCGTCAGATTTGTGTTTGAGAAAGTAAAGATGTACTTTTCGGGTGAAGTCATCATAACAAGAGAGGAAGTAAACTGCGCCACTTAGAGATGGAGTTCGTGCTGGTCCCCACAGATCGAGATGTATGACTTGTAGTGGTTCAGTAGCGCGAATTTCGCTTGGAATTGACGGTAATCTCCTCCCTTTTCCAACAACACAACTTCTGCACTGAAAATCTTTTGCATGAGAGTTTGTAAATTCACATCCTAACCGTCCTGACTTTGACAAATTCACTAAAGCGCCAACATTGAGATGTCCAAGTCGCTCGTGCCAGTCTAGGAGTAGGTCAGTTGTGTTTGCAATATTTGCAATAGGAGTACTTGCTTGTAGAAGATAAAGACGATCATGTTTTTGCGCAGAGAGAAGAACTTGGTGATTCTTGCAGAAAGTCGCAATTCCCTTTCTAAATCGCCATTCTGAATCTCCCCCATCTTCCGATGCGCCTACAGAGAGTAAATTTCGGTCCAAACCAGGAACTAAAAGCGTGTTTGGAAACTCCACCTCGTTTATGACTAGTGTACCTGCTTGTGTACATGGTAGAATAGCAGAATTTCCGAATTTTACGCGAGTTGGAAGGATTGAATGAATTGATGAAAGCGAATTTTTGTCATTACACATGTGGTGTGAAGCGCCAGAGTCCACTACGAATATACACTTCGAATTTTCGGCTGCTAAAGCGATGGGGTCATCTGCAGTAGCGACAGCAGTGAGAAAAGCGCTCGCATCGGAAAGATAAGCGCTATCGGCTGTCGCTTTTGAGGTATCTTGTGATTCTTTGAATGATTTTGATTCTGTTGAAGCGACATTGCGCTTTTCGAAGTTTTGCTCTTGTTTCTAAAACAGTTTTCGGTGGAATGACCGGTTTTCTGATGAATAGAGCAGTATTTCGAATGATCTGCTGGGGAAATCGATCAAATGGTTTCTTTGGGTTGTGAAAAGTTGATTTAGAGCGAAATTTCGATTTTGCAAACATTCCAGTTGCACTTTCTCCCTCAGTTTTTCTCCTACTCCATTCCGCTTGAACTCCAGCCTGTACTTCACTTGAAGATAGCGATTCCCTGAGCCAAAGCGTCTGTTTAAGCGTTGTAAACGATTCTGGAAGCGCCAATGTCATAGCATAGGCTAACATCTTGTCTGAAAGATTTTCTCCAGCCGAATTCAACTGTGCATGTGCACTGCGCTGTGCTGCAAGCGCAGGCATTGGATCCTCCCCTTCTAAAATCGTTTTTCGAGCCATTTCTTGAAATAAGGCAGCCTGCCTGGCTCCAACAGCTGCAGAGTACTGTTTCTTAATCTCCTCCCAAAGCGATTCCGAATTTGGTGATTTCCAGTCCTTAACGCCGGTAGGAAGTGCTGAGGAAATTGTTTCTGAAAGGGATTGGAAAATTATTGAGTATGCTTTCGCAAATTTGAGACGTTCCTTGATGTTTTCCTTATTTTTCAAGTCTTTAGATGGCGGTTCGGTGTTGATATACAGTAGTAATCCCTTGCCCATAAGTGTGGTAGCGATATGAGCTTCCCACTGCGCATAATTCTCGCTTCCTCGCAATTTTACAATTTTTACTTTTACTTCGGTGTCAGATGAGTCGGACATTTTTTGAGATCGAATATCTCGATAACGAATGGAGGGACAGAGTTGATTTTAGATGTGGTGGTAGACACAATGTGTTCCTACAGGTGTAGTAAAAGTCAGCCCAGTCGGTCCGAAGTGGACCAAGTAAAACGAGAAAGACGATTTTTGTGATTGTAAATTTGGATTGTGGTGTCAAATTTACCAAATCGAGATAACTTTGAAACGACTGAAGCTACGATGCTGAGATCGAGGGTGGTGATAGAGGCAATGGTAGCGGATAAGTGGACGGAATGGGAGGCCGAAAGTGGGATTATTGATTGAGATAATGGTGTCACGAACCATGTCGTGACATCCCTGACAACTACCATCACCGACCCTCCTTTCACTATCGCCGAACCACTATCCACCACCACCCGGAACCACTGAGACCGACTACGACGAAGTTACGAGAACCTAGGGGTTATTAGTCACAACAACCCCGCCTAACGGAGAACTACGGCGAAGTTAGGGGAAGGAAACCGAGGGAGAGTGCAGTAGGGGAAGTTAGGCGAAGTTAGTCGGAGTAGGATATCGGGGATATGGCGAGGTACGGCGAAGTTGAACGAAGAGGACTGAGCGCGAGGCTGTACAGGGGTTGAGGGACGTTCTATGAGAAGAGAGGGGAAGTATAGATAGTTTACAGATCGCTGAACTTCTTCAGCGATCCTTGATTGTTGTCAGTAGTGAAAGTCAGATAGAGATAGCTATATACAATCGAGATACATCGCCATCAGTAGAACAAAAGCCCAGTTAGAGTAACTACGCCGAAGTACGCCGTAGTTACACCCCTTTCGACGTCTGTGCCCTCCTGGTTGGGTGAGACATCGAATTAGGACCACCAAGTTAGCCGAGGTTCGTCGACCGTCGGTCTATTGGAAAGAAGTTATTCGACGGCCGTGACAAATGGAAAAGCGATATTTTTCCAAATGTAAATCAGCTGAAGTTCAAACAACAAGGAATAGACTCTCAGAGTGACTCAGCTGATTGCGAGGCGCGCTTGGTATGTCCTAGGACTCAGAGGCGCGCCACTGGGGTGTCCAGATTCGTCTACACCGCTGTATCTAACTAAAGCGATACACGATGCACCTCCCACAATAAAGCAGGTCCGGTTTTAGGAACAAGAAGAGAGTAATGAATGAAAGAAAAAGCGAAAGTGTGGAAGTGATTTCAACTTTTCACCTGCGCTTCTGCAGGACTTGCCTTCACTCCCAGCCGAGAGCGTTGATACCAGAGGCTTGCTGTAAAGCGTGGGTTTGAGGAATAAGAAAGCGAAAATTTAAAAGTGATGAGGGAATAAATGAAGATAGCAAGTTGTCAATTTCATACAATCTCGGTTTTCTCTTCAACCAGTGATCCAAACTTTGATTTGTCTTTTGATATGAATAGTCGGTAGTTGCGGACAGGATCAGGCGAAGAGATTTAAAAAATTCGATAAGAATTGATGGAATGGGGTTAAAAGCGAGATTTTGGGGTGGTATTGAAGTAATTGGAATTTTCGATTTTGAATTTTTGGTCTGCTGGTTCAACCGTTCCACCGAAATCAAATCTGGTTGTAGATCTAGAGAGCGCACAGTAAACTGATTCAGGAGATGTTGAGAGCGATGAAATTGGTGTAGAATTGAGGTGAAGAGGATAAAAGGTTGCTTTGTGAGTGTAGAAGATGTCTTATTATTGCTCACAAAAATTCCGACTTTGTAGTTGATCTCCTGTCCCAACCGCTCTTGCAAACTTCAATCTCTTTCCCGTTCTGATAATCTCCCACTGTCCCCTTTCTTATGATCCAAAGAGCGATGTATTTTGTTCAGAATTGACTGAGTTGTGTTGAAAAAGCGATTTTGCTGGTAAAGGAGGGATATTACAGTCGAAAATTTTCACTTTCGATCTATCTTGCTATTCGTGAATGTTGTCGGTCTACTCTTTTCGGTAATGGTGGAAACAGTGACGCTCTGTTCAGATCCGAAGAGATATCGAGAATCGGAGCAGTATTGGAGGAGATAGAGTGAGAGTGAGAAAAGCGATTTGAAGCGAAAAGCGAAATTTTGAGTTGAGTTGATGAGATAGTTCTACTGATTCTAATGCTGGAGGGACCGCAGGGGGTGTCGGGAGCAATTAGATAGCGTCTTAAAGAAGTGATAAAACGTCTTAAAGAAGTGATTCAGGCTCATAACCTGTCAGATGTAGAAAGTAGAATGCATAAAGAGAAACTACAATATTGACAGAGGTGAGAAATGAGACGAGGGGATACACGGAAATAGCCAAAGCGCTCCAATGTGGCAGTTACCGATTGCTCTAATTCCGACAGTTATCAACAGTATCATTGCTGAAATGTTTCCATTGTCCAACTCTTGTCTTTCTTTGCCGACCAACCTTGCGCAATAGGCGGAAATTATGGGAAATAAGGCAGTAATAATCTCCAGTCACATGATGTTGTTGCCACGTTGGTTTTGACCACACCATGTGGAAGCTCCAGACGGTGTTCCGCTTACACATCTGACACAGATATCATGAGCAGTTGCCCCTTTGTAGTAAACAGGTCGATGGGTAAATTCCAAAGCACTATCTGAAAGTGACAATGCACATTTTAGAGTCTTCATATTTTCCGCAAGTACATTTGCATGTCTCCTGTCTTACCGGGTCAATTCGGAGAAACTCCTTGCGGCAGAGTGCGCTGTTCTGGCCTCCACAAAACCGTCAAAGTAACGATTTCTATAGAAGTAAGGGGTTGACCGGTCCAAACTTCTTGCAGCAGCGCTGTTTTGGCCTTCATCATGTCGAAAATGGGGCAATCAGAACCGCCGCATCGGTTCGCTGGCGCTACTTCCGCATATCTCGTCGTCTCAAAATTGACATCTGTCAATATTGTACTCTTTATGCATTCTACATTCTACATCTGACAGGTTATGAGCCTGAAATATCTCTTCAACACAACATATAACTGCTCCCGACACTCCTTGTGGTCCCTCCAGCAAAAAAAAAAGTATTCCGCTTTCGCTTCCAATCACGTTTCTCGCTGCAACTTCATCAATACTGCTCCAATTTTCAATATTCATTGAGGTAGGGCAAACCACAAGCTGTTCATGTGACAAGAACACTATTTTGAGTCACTTTTCGAGCGATCTGACCTCAAAGACTGCAAACCAGCGAAAACTCCCCTTCCTTCTGGATTTCCACCACTTCCTGCGACCGAAGAACACAAAGCGGCCAGACACTACCCGTATGCACAGGCAGTGGAGGCTAATACTGTATGCTTCTACAATTATGCGACCGGACTTTTCCAGCATGTCTTTGCGCTAGATCCCTCAGCAAATGGAATGAGTCACACTGGAAAGGGGTAAAAGACCTACTTTGTTACATTCATGGTACCTCTGACCTCTGTCTTACCTTCAACAAGGAGAACAGCAACAGAATTGCTTCAGGGTAGGCGGATGCAGACTGGGGAGGTGATTTGGAGTCCTCACTTTGGTGGTTTAATGCCATTGAGAACTTGCTAATCTGCGCTTTGTAAATTTTGAGACTCACTTTTCTGAGCCCAGCCGGGATGGAGCTGCAGTTGGTACCAATGATTGAGGCCACAGCAGCGCATCCTGCTGCGACAAGTTTGGACCTGTCAATGAATCACTTCCAGAGAAATCCTCACTTCCGTGGTTTTAGGTCATCGAGCAGTTGCGGTCGCACAATTAGTAAATTTCAAAAGTCACTTTTGTGCTTTCTCCTCGACCTTAACCAGAACCAAGCTGCAATTGATACCAACGATAGAAGCCATGACAGTGCAACCTGATGCGAAGAGTTTGGCCCAGTCGATGAATCACTTCTAGAGAAATCCTCACATTGGTGGTTCGATGCCATTGAGCAGTTGCTAATTTGCGCTTTGTAACTTTGGACACTCACTTTTCCGACTGCAGCCCGGACCGAGCTACAGATGATACCAATGATAGAGGCCATGACAGCGCAACCTGCTGCAAAGAGTTTGGCCCAGTCGATGAATTACTTCCAGAGAAATCCTCACTTCCGTGGTTTTATGTCATCGAGCACTTGCGGTCGCACAATTAGTAAATTTCAAAAGTCACTTTTGTGCTTTCTCCTCTACTTTAACCAGAACCAAGCTGCAATTGATACCAATGATAGAGGCCATGACAGCGCAACCTGCTGCGAAGACTTTGGCCCAGTCAATGAATTAGCTCTAGAGAAAGCTCACTTCAGTGGTGCTATGTCATCAAGCGGTCACTAATTTGCGCTTTGTAACTTTTGAGTCTCGCTTTTCCGACTGCAGCCCGGATCGAGCTGCAGTTGATACCAATGATGGAGGCCATAACAGCGCACTCGGCTGCGTGTAAAGCGATTGGGCTGAAATCGACCTCTGTGATAGAGGCCACAACAGCGCACGTTGTTGCAAAGAGTTGAAACTCAAAATCACCAAAGTGACGATTTCTCATGAAGTACTGAGCCTATTGTGGCAAACTCTTCGCAGCAGAATACCCTGTTGTGGCCTTTATCATGAGTATCAATTGCAGCTTGATTCGGGCTGGGGTCAGGGAGAGAGTACAACAGCGATTCTCAAAAGTTACAATGCGCGCATTAGCAACTGTTTGTGAAACTCAAAATCACCAAAGTGATGATTTCTCAGGAAGTACTCAGCATATTGTCGCAAACTCTTCGCAGCAGAATACCCTGTTGTGGCCTCCATCACCAGTATCAATTGCAGCTTGATTCAGGCTGGGGTCAGGGAGAGAGTACAACAGCGATTCTCAAAAGTTACAATGCGCGCATTAGCGACTGTTTGTGAAACTCAAAATCACCAAAGTGATGATTTCTCAGGAAGTACTCAGCATATTGTCGCAAACTCTTCGCAGCAGAATACCCTGTTGTGGCCTCCATCACCAGTATAAATTGCAGCTTGATTCGGGCTGGGGTCAGGGAGAGAGTACAACAGCGATTCTCAAAAGTTACAATGCGCGCATTAGCAACTGTTTGTGAAACTCAAAATCACCAAAGTGATGATTTCTCAGGAAGTACTCAGCATATTGTCGCAAACTCTTCGCAGCAGAATACCCTGTTGTGGCCTCCATCACCAGTATCAATTGCAGCTTGATTCAGGCTGGGGTCAGGGAGAGAGTACAACAGTGATTCTCAAAAGTTACAATGCGCGCATTAGCAACTGTTTGTCAAACTCAAAATCACCAAAGTGATGATTTCTCAGGAAGTACTCAGCATATTGTCGCAAACTCTTCGCAGCAGAATACCCTGTTGTGGCCTCCATCACCAGTATCAATTGCAGCTTGATTCGGGCTGGGGTCAGGGAGAGAGTACAACAGTGATTCTCAAAAGTTACAATGCGCGCATTAGCAACTGTTTGTGAAACTCAAAATCACCAAAGTGATGATTTCTCAGGAAGTACTCAGCATATTGTCGCAAACTCTTCGCAGCAGAATACCCTGTTGTGGCCTCCATCACCAGTATCAATTGCAGCTTGATTCGAGCTGGGGTCAGGGAGAGAGTACAACAGCGATTCTCAAAAGTTACAATGCGCGCATTAGCAACTGTTTGTGAAACTCAAAATCACCAAAGTGATGATTTCTCAGGAAGTACTCAGCATATTGTCGCAAACTCTTCGCAGCAGAATACCCTGTTGTGGCCTTTATCATGAGTATCAATTGCAGCTTGATTGGGGCCGGGGTCAGGGAGAGTATAACAGCGATTCTCAAAAGTTACAATGTGCAAATTAGCAACTGTTTGTGAAAATGAAAATTACCAAAATGACGATTTGCCGGAAGCGACTAAGCCTATTGTGGCGGAGTCCACGGGTTCACGGAGTTACCTCAAGAGGCGAGAGACGCGTCCTGTCAATTTGACAGATTGGCAACACTAGTCTTACCGTTGAGATAACACATGGAGACGAACCACGTGGCAAGCGGCGACGCCCGCAGGGTCGAGGTGCACCGATAAAAGGGAAGAGAAGAGAGAGACGATAGAGGTGTGAGAAGTATGTGGGATAGAGAAAAGAGGTCGAGATTCCACGGGTCCACAGGGTCACCTCGAGAGGTAAGAGACGGGGCTGTCAATTTGACAGGTTTTCACACTAGTGATGTCTATAGGCGCTTTGGGCTGAGGACTTGTCAGATATGAAAGCGGAATGCCTTCTGGAGCTTCCACATGGTGTGGTCAAGACAAATGTAACAACATCATGTGACTGCAGTTCATTTCGCCTTATTTCCCATATTTTCTGGATATTGCCCAATGTTCGTTGCCAATGAGAAACAAGAGTTGGATAATGGCAACTGTCCAGATATGATATTGTTGACTAGGGTGCCAACCTGTCAAATTGACAGGCCCGTCTCCTGCCTCTCAAGCTGGATCCGCAAAGTTGTGAAGCCGTGAACCCGTAGCCTCTCCCTTCTCTCTCTCTCTCTTGCTTGAAGGTAGTGAAGTTGTTGTATGCTTTCCTTCCCTTCTCTGTCTGTCCGTGAATTAGTGGACCGCGGACCCGTGACCTCTCCCTTGTCTCTCTCTAGCTTGTAGATAGCAAGTCTAGTGGAGTTGTGACAGCCTGCTCTCCTTCTCCTTCTCCCTCTCCTTCTCCCTCTCCTTCTCCTACTCTTCTCCCCTTCTCTCTTTCACTCTTTCTCTCTTTCTCATCACGGTTCATCATCATGCTTTATCCTTCCGCTTTATCCTCTCGCTTTATCCTCTCGCTTTATCCTCTCGCTTTATCCTCTCGCTTTTCTCGCGGCGAGGGCCGTCACGGTTTATCATCACGGTTCATCATCATGCTTTATCCTTCCGCTTTCTCCTCTCGCTTTCTCCTCTCGCTTTATCCTCTCGCTTTATCCTCTCGCTTTATCCTCTCGCTTTATCCTCTCGCTTTATCCTCTCGCTTTATCCTCTCGCTTTATCCTCTCGCTTTTCTCGCGCCTGCAGCCCTCGCCGCTCGCCACGTGGTTTATCCCCCCAAGTTGTCTCGACATCATCTGTTATTTATTGTTGATAATGCCACGCTTGTCGCGAACGTTGCAACTGTTAACTGCCAGATTCGCTATCGCTATTTCCGTATATTCCCGCGTCTTATTTCTACATCTGACGCTTTCTACATCTGCCAGGTTATGAGCCTCAAATATCGCTCTTAAGACCACACTAATTGCCCCCAACAACCCCTGTGGTCCCTTCATCATAAGCAGCTATCAGTGGAACAATCGGTAGAATCATCAACTCCTCGACTGTTGCTTTTCGCTTCAAAATTGTGTTGTTCGCCCCGACTCCATCAGTACTGCACCGACTGCCGAAATCTCTATGGATCTCAGTACAGAATGTCACTGCCGCCTCCAGAAATCACGAGATAGAGCAAAAGTGAAAACAGTTGATTTCAATACCACTCTCTGAACCAGCAAAATCGCTTTTTCACTCAGATCACGCAATTCCGGACACAATAGATTGCCGCTTGGATTATCAGCAAGGTGACAGTAGGAGCTACCTCGACTCAAAGGAGATCCAAGTCTAGATGACTCGTTGGGACAAGAGATCAACCACAAATTTGGCATTCTTGTGTGCAACAATAATAAAGACATTTTCTTCACTCACAGATCAAATGAGCGACCTCATCACCTCAAGTCTCCACCATTCTCATTCGTCTCAGCGTTTGCGGAATTGCCGCACTGCGCGCTCTGTAGCTCTACATCCAGATCCAACTTTTGTAGAACAATCGAACAAGCAGACCAACCTTCCAAAATTCAATTTCTAAAAATCACCATTTAAAACCCAAATTCGACTTTTTTTTTTAGTTGTTGCTCATTCACCACCAATTCCATCGCTCTTTGGCTTTCCTCTCAAAGACCAACAGTCGACAAACCTCAGCTAACTTTGTACTTCGGGGGTTGGTTTCTCACCCAAACAGGAGAGCTGTTAAGACCTGTCCCCAGCAAAAGGTTGTTGGGGTGCGGAGACAGGGTGGACAGCAGAAGTTTACAGCAAGCTTGGTCTACGACTGGCGGGAGTAGACCGTAGTGCTGGTACAAAGGTCGACAGAAGATGTATAGAGTAGCAAGGAGGTATTAAATATATATCAAGTATATGAGTGTCTAGTGGTTGGAACTATATACAAAGGATAGGGGGGGACGTTGGAGTGAAGACCCAAAGTCAGACTTGATAATAGATGGAGTGCCACCCGTAGGATGGTCTTGCACTGTCTATGGTCAAAGATGACTTTGGGGAGAGCGGAGAGGTAATGAGGAAAAGTGAGGTGTTTTGAGATAGTTTTCGTCATTAAAGTAGATACCCATTCCGCCGCCTTTATATACCTTTCAGAATTACACGTTTTCACACTGATTCCCACAATCCACAATGTGGCGTGTGGAGTCACATGACCTGCACAATCCACAATGTGGCGTGTGGGATCACATGACTTGCACAATCCACAATGTGGTGTGTGGAGTCGCATGACTTCAATGAGGTGTTATGACCTGGTCATAACAAGAGCACAGACTTTGTTCTGATGGCAACTTCAACAAAGTTCGTCATGATTGCTAGGTTCTGGGGCTTTACTGAAGGCAATGTGTCTCAATGTAGGTGTAGCTATTTCTATCTATCTTTTGCTACTGCCAACAATCAAGGATCGCTGGAGAACTTCAGCAATCTTCTCAGCTATAGTATCCACCCCTCCTAGATGTTCATCCAACCTGTCCGCGCTTCGACGCACTTCGGCCAACTTCCTTGAACCACCAAACACCTGTCCTTCTAACCTCGCCTAACTTTGCCGTACTCCTGATTCCTCCATCATTAACCGACCTCACTTTGCCTAACTTCGCCGTACTTTTGCTCCCTCCATCCCTGCTCCCTCCATCCTTGACCAACCTAACTTCACCTAACTTCACCGCACTTCTGATCCCACCACCCCTGGTCCACCTGACTCCGTCTAACTTTGCCGCAGTTGGTTTCAGATGTCCTAGGATATGTGTGAACCAAAGAGGTTGAGACATGATTTGGGTTTGATGGTCAGAGGAGGGTTGTTGTTGGTGGGATTTAGGGGTATCACAACGTAGTCTGTGACACCGACCAGCTTCACAAGCCACGAGTTATACTTGGTCCGTCATAACATAATCTTGTAAATGGTTTATAGTCCACCTGTCTCTTGTGTCTTTGATGACACTTTCAGAGACAATCTCATCTGTTTTACCAACCAATGTTGTGGAAGTCGTCAAATCTGAAATCGCTTTGGGAGGAGATTAAGAAACATGTCACAAAGGATATGACAAGTGCCATCTGGAGGTGACACTGTGCTGGTGAAAGGTGAAGTGCTATGGGTTGGGTATTTAACCAGCGATTGGTGGCAGGGTTAACCGCCGGTTAAAAGGCCTTTTTGTTGCAGTGGTTTGGATCGCTGTTCCGTTGGGCACTGCTAAATTGTACCCATGCGGCTTAGTTGGTCTTCTGACAAAACAGTACACTGCAAAGCCGCTCTGGTTCAAGAAGTGGCTGGTGTCACGGCCGTCGAATAACTTCTCTCCGATAGACCGACGGTCGACGAACCTCGGCTAACTTGGTGGTCCTAATTCGATGTCTCACCCAACCAGGAGGGCGCAGACGTCGAAAGGAGTGTAACTACGGCGTACTTCGGCGTAGTTACTCTAAATGGGATTTTGTTCTACTGATGGCGATGTATCTCGATTGTATATAGCTATCTCTATCCGTCTTTCACTACTGACAACAATCAAGGATCGCTGAAGAAGTTCAGCGATCTGTAAACTATCTATACTTCCCCTCTCTTCTCATAGAACGTCCCTCAACACCTGTACAGCCTCGCGCTCAGTCCCCTTCGTTCAACCTCGCCGTACCTCGCCATATCCCCGGTATCCTACTCCGACTAACTTCGCCTAACTTCCCCTACTGCACTCTCCCTCGGTTTCCTTCCCCTAACTTTGCCGTAGTTCTCCGTTGGTCGGGGTTGTTGTGACTAATAATCCCTAGGTTCTCGTAACTTTGTCGTAGTTGGTCTCAGTGCTTCGGGATGGTGGTGGATAGTGGTTCGGTGATAGTGAAAGGAGGGTCGGTGATGGTGGTTGTCAGGGATGTCACGACATGGTTCGTGACAGCTGGGAAAAACAATTTTCGAAGGGGAGGATCCCATACCTGTGCTTGCAACACAGCGTTATCGTCTTTTCATCAGTAAGTTCACTCTCTTTTCCGCACACACGGACTCTAATCGTCTCAAGTATCATTTTGGTACCCTTCCCACTCTTTTATGACTCTTCTTGACCGACTTCTGGCTCTTCGCTTCTTCCCCTGCGCCCTCCATGTCTACTTCCCAACAAATCGCTATGACTTTTCACAGAGCAATCGTGGTATCCTCTCGTCCTCTCGACGCTCTTCTTCTGGTCTCTGCGAGTCTGTGAGTACTCTTTTCATCATCAGAAGTGGAGTCCTGACTGCGGTAGGTCCCTTCGTCATCATTTACCTCGCCACCCCACTCCCGGTGAAAAACTGTTTTTGTCTCTAGAAACACATCTTCGGCCTTTCTAAACTTCTCGACGCTCTTCTACCGTTCTCTGCGAATCTGTGAGTACCTGTTTTGTCATCAGAAGTGGAACTCTGACTTCGATAGGTCCCCTCGTCATCATCCTCGATCTCGTCACCGACATCCCGGTCAACAACTTTCTTTACTCCTCAACAACACCTCCCCCCCGGCTCTCACATGTCGACATGTATGCTGCTGGTCTAGGGCTAAGCGTGAGTACCATTCTTATTGCATGCAGTGCTCATGCTGACGAGTTGGATGTCATCACCGATCCTGGTACCGCCATCACCGATCCTGGATTGTTTTCCACAATCCCGTTCTACATAACTCAGTCCTCGACGCTCTCGCTCTCCTGATCTCGTACCAGAGACTCGGCAACATCGTCCTGGAGACTATGGCGATGACGATCTCGATGAAATGCTCGTCAATCTTGGTATTACTCCTCGCAAAGAACCAGGATTTGATCCTGTGGCTGTGTTACGACCGAGAGCTAGGCAGTGACCGAGCTTGTCGCACTTTTTCGACGCTGTTTGACTGCTCTCTGCGAGTCTGTGAGTGCTCAATTTACGATGAAAAGTGAAATTCTGACGTTTACAGGATCCATTATCATCCTCCCCACCGAACATTCTGCAGCAAGAATCTTCGTAACTCTTTAACAACACTTCTTCAGTCTTTCTTAACTTCTCGAAGCTGCTGTCCTGGCCTCTGCGAGTCTGTGAGTACTTCTTTATTTGGGAAAGGTGAGATCTGACTTCGATAGGTCCTCCCGTCATCATCGTTATCTTCTCCACCGAACATCCTGCAGTCAGAATTTTGGTAACTCCTTAGCAACACATCTTCAGTCTTTCTAGACTTCTCGACGCTGCTGTACTGCTTTTTGCGAGTCCGTGAGTATCTGTTACATCGTGAAGGTGAAGATCTGACTCTGACAGGATCCATCATCATCATCTTTCCCACCGGCATCCCCACCAATTTATCTTTTTTCTCTTCAACAACACATATTCAGTCTCTCTAGACTTCTTGACGCCGTTCTACTGCTGTTTGCGAGTCTGTGAGTCCTCGTTTTATCATTACAAGTGAAAACCTGACATACACAGGACCCATCATCACAACATACACCATCGACATCCCGACCAAATTATGTTTTTTCTCTTCAACACCATCCTCCGGGTTCTAATCTGTCGACTGGTTCTAACTTGTCGACATGTATTCCGCTGGTCTCGTGCTACGCGTGAGTACCATTTCTACTGCATGAAGTGCTCATTCTGACAAGTTAGATGTCATCACCAATCTTGGATCGTTTTTCACGGTCCCCTTCTTTAAAACTCGGTCCTCGACGATCTTCATCTCCTGTTCGTGTACCAGAGACTCAGCAACATCGTCTGAATGATGACGACGACCTCGAAAACCTGCTTGAAAACCTCGGTCCTGTCCCTCGCGAAGAACCTTCGATCTTGCACCTCAACCGACTCTGGCAGCTGCTCGACTTCATACCCAACAGGTCGCTATCACACATACCGTCTGCATCGTCACAAAATGCAGTGTGGAGCAGAAGGGAAAGCTTGAGCTTCCATGTGCTCATGGGGGTATGGTCGCTTACATCGAACCTATTTTTCATCGTGACAAAGCAGTATGATAAAAGCCACTTTTTGCAAAATCGATAATGATGACGAGAGCAAGCTGTTTTCAGTATCAATGGGCCTCCCTTCTGCTCAGCAGATACAAGAAGTACGTGAAGGAGATGGTACCATTGCTCTTTCTCCTCTCCATCGTCATTGGCGTTTTCTCAACCCCCACACCTGGCCAGACACGATCGAACCGGCCGCCGCGAAGGTTATCAACAGGGTTCGAGATCCCCACCTTGGAAGAAATCGGTTGGTATTAGCCAGGAAGAACGCTCACACCCCCTCCACCACTCAGATCGATCTTATCACCATCGAAGACGACGATTTGACCGTTGATAATCCCTACCTTTTACCTCCTCCTCCTCCTCCTACTCTGCCCTCTTCTCCAAAAAGAGGTGTAAAATCGAACCCTACACAGCTCGCAAATGACGTATCTCACACTGGCCGTCTCCACACCCCGTCAGAAAAGTATTCAGATACCAAGAAGAAGGCAAATCGTCCCTGTACCCTGTGTGGTTTAAGAAAGTCATGGTCCTAAGAAGTGTAAAAGGGCTACTGAACATCGCGAGAGGGATCCCGAGGCCTATCATTGCGAGGTAAAGGCGTATGATGCTGGAGAAACAACTCGGAGAGAGGGGTTGGTGTTAGGAGCTGATGCTGCAGTTCAGCAAGAGATCTCAGAGCTCAGGAAGACGGTTCTCGACTTGGCCAGGAGTATTATAGAGAGAGAGGACAGAGAGACGGCCAGGATTGGCCGGCCAGGAGCAGGAGAATCGGCCTGTAATGGTGAGGTCAGAGGATAGGATAGCGAGGACGGTTCAAATGGTGAGTTTCTCATATGTTAATGGCATGTCGAATTCCCTCCTTTTCCCCCTCTCTGTCCAACCGTCATTCCTGGCTATACTGCTCTGTCTCTGACTATATGACTATATTGCTCTGTCTATATTGGCCTCACGATCTGGGGACTGTTTTACTTTGAAAAGTTTCCTGCAAGCTGATGGGTTCAGGTGACACCAGGCAACGGCGACCAACCGAATCATTTCGATATGTATGTCTAGGGGGAGATTGGGGCTTTTGAATGGGAGAGTATGGTCAGCCAGGGTTCAAGTGGGCCAGTTGTTGTGCAAGACGGACGAGGAAATAGGGATGATGCATAACGACAGTAGAGCAGCCTGCTTGAGAGAACATTCTAGCACAAGCAACAAAGCCGACTTGTCGTGCTCACTTGACATTTCTTATCTTGATCTCGTAGCTCACCCACGACCATATCATCATCCTCATGGAACACGATAGACTTTGGTTGCCACCTGGCTACATGTCCAACTTGACACCACCCCCACCGCCCACACCCTCACCCTCACCCACATCCACATCCACACCCACCTTGGCCTTTTCCGAGCCATATCAACCCTTACCTCTTTACCCCGTCCGACTACTCCCGCCACCTCTCCAGCCTCGACACGTTTATCGTTTACCTTTCTTTCAAACCGTTACCGAGGTCAGGTCGGGTGAGAGACAAGGAAGACAGTTGTACGAGTTGTTGGTCGCTTTTTCAAATTATAGGTATCCGCAACCTCACTTGATATCGCATCCACACAACGATACCACGTCCGCAAACACGAACACGACCACGACCACGACCACGACCACGACCACGACCACGACCACGACCACAGCCGCAACCTCAACCACGACTACAACCACAGGAAAGATGAAAATGTTCAGACCGGATCTACTAGATCACGTCAAGGAATCGTTTCAGGATGAATACGTCGGTCATGTTCCTCCCTTGATCTACAAGTGAGTTTCGTTTCCTTTTTCACTCTCTCACCTGTCTTGTGATTCAGTTGGACGAGACGAGACGAGGGTCGCTTGATCTCTTTCCCTATCTTCTTTGCTTTCATTTGACAGGATATCGTCATCGTCATTATACATATCTCCTACTCATCCCTACCTGTCTTTGACCGGTCAAGGTTTCGACCGAGATCATCATCTATACATAATCTATACCCCCACCATTATGCGTACTCTATGTACACTGCTTCCAGATATGACGAATGGTCAACAGAGATGAGCGAGAAAGTCACGTCGAGAGAGGTTTTACGTCTAGGTCGTTCGAGGCCTCGTCTTTATCTGATCAGAGAAGAAAGTTGTCGTTTCCGTTTTCATTCTCGTTTTCGTTTGCTGCTGAAAGAGGAGACAAGATACTTGGAAGAACAGAAAAACAGAGAAAGAAAGAAAGAAGGAAAGAAAGCCGAGGGAAGATTGATTTGGCTGATAAACAAGATCTCGAACTGGTTGTAGATGTTGTCAGCAAAACCATCGACAATGTTATTGGACAAATCTGTCCTTACCTGAATTTGAACCTCAACCCGAACCTCCTCCCGAACCTCGACCATCTTCAGAATCAACGTTCTCCGATTCTTCGACTTTTGGACCACCACACTCTTCTACTAGTAGATTGGTTTCGGACGACCGACGATCCTCACAATCTTTCAACAACACGTCACCATCATCTTTACATCTTTCCGATACCTCTACCTCGATTACAACATTACCAGTTTCAACACCATCTTCCGATCCTTTGATTCATACCTTGCCTCTTGAAACATCATCATATCACATGAATCAAACTCCTACACCCATATCTAACCAAACTGACGACACCAAACAAACGATACGATACCCATTAGAGAAATGTCTCCGTTGTTCTCTATACGACATTGACTGCAAGTTTTTTTACAGGTTGTCTGACCGAACTAGAGTCAAGTGGATACCTGCCAAAGCTTACGTCGTCGCTTTCCCAACGGATCAAGATGTGCAGTCGGTGGAGAAGCTTTTGCAAGTGGGGGTTGACCTGACGTTGGAATTGGTACCGGAACCCGAGGGGGGTGGGGAAGAAGATGGAGGACGTTTGGTTAGGGAAGAAGGGGAAGAACAAGAAGTAGGGCGTTCGTTAGCGGCAAGGGGAGGAGGAGGAGGACGTTCGGTCAGGCAACGAGGGGGTTTAAAGATACAGTAGAAAATCAAGTAGGGGCGTTTTTGTTAGTGGCAAGGGGAGGAGGACGTTTTGGTTGAGGGGTGCGGAAGGAAAAAGACAAAACAATCACTTCGTACAAGTAATATCGTGTGGAAAAAGATGGACGGGGACCGGTCCCGGAAAATTGGATGTGGGAAAGTGCAAGGTTGTCAGAAAGTGTCCAATCACAACCAAAAATTACGATCCGGTCGCCGTTTCAAATTGCTCACTTGGCCGCAGAGCGGGCCAAGTTGTCTAGTATCCATACACCATAACTTTATCGTCAAAGAAGGTGACATTCAACAAAACCATAGGGGTCAAATCAGTGACTTTGGAGGGGAGACTGTCTTGTGGTCAAGAGAAGAGAGGGGATCATTGGTCGCTCCGATATCATGGTTGGCTTTTGAAATAACACGGATAATTGACTGGAGAATATGCAAATGACGAGGCAGTGGGAGGTGCGTGCGAGAGAAAGGATGACCTATTTTATAATGAAACAATGTGTCCCATCCATATATTTTATCGTACCAATTCTTATAAACCAATCTAATATGTGATACGAGAGGTAAATCTCAATTACTTGTGATCGATAAATAATCTATCTATGTAATTGAAGACGATGACTAGTCTACTGCTGGTGAACGATAACTTATCTACCATGTGCTCGAACGACGATAGACGATAACGAAAAGAAAAGAGAAGAAAAGAGAAAAGCTTTTAGGAACTCGTTTAGTTTGCCAATCCATCCATTTTCACGTTTTTCCTCTCCCTACCTCCCCCGATGCGTGTTGCGCGCTATACATGTACGTATAGTATTCCAACTTAATCATCCTCATCCTCCTCCTCCTCCTCATCATCATCATCATTATCATCATCGAAAACCCTGATCTTGACCAAACGTCCTCCACCGCGTTTATGCCCAGACCTGACCCTGACATGATCACCACCCAACATTCCTTTCTGACGATCTTTCAAACGAGTCAGACCTTCTTTTTTCAAAGCTTGATCGATTACCCTTCTGAACTCGTGATATTCGCTCAGCGAAATACCGAACATGTTATCGAACCCTTCTTGTTTCATAACTTTGAAGACTTCCCACGGTTTCATGAGTAGATGACCCAATGCGGTGTTTCCCCATGATCCACGTGTGGACACTGTGTTTCGGGTTGCTAGGGAATGTCAGTGATTCGATCTACATCTTGTTTCCTCCTAGTAACAGACAAATCTTCGTCAACGCCAGATAGAGCAAGGGGGGAGACGACGGGTGTCGGATAGATCGTCGATCACACGTGATAACGGATGAGGGCAAGGGAAGGGGATAACCGAAAGCATTGTACATTTCGCAAAAACTCACCATGGTATTTATCCTCAGTCTCCACCCAAAGCTTTTCCAACCTATTCCATAATTCCCTAGTCACGGCATTCACATCTTGTGGCCCGACACAACGACATACGAAGTTTGCAGCTTGATCATTGAAGGTGTTGAACTGTAACAGAGTCAGCGAGGTTCAGCACCCGAGATAAAACTTGGACACTTGAGGAAACTGAACCTTTGATTTCACCACCTCCAACGGGTAGGTACCTACTACACAGGATACGGAACGCATGATTTTTCTAAGAAAAGAAAAAGAAACAAATAGCCGAGTCGGCCAACGACATGATTTAAGAATGAAAGATTTTGTTCTTCTTGACACTCGAGGAGATAGAAAGGGAATCAACGGAATATGAACCCGTATCCGAACATGAAACACCGAAACACGGAAAACAAAAATGCATCCGAATCCGAGACAAAATGGGGAAAACACGAAAATGATCGAGTGAAAGATATCAGTCCAGAATCATCAGGTAAAGAACAAACAAAAGATGTTTCCTGTTATATGCCCATGTAAGGGGGGGAGGGAGGCTGACATCGAACCGAGGAAAGAAAAAGAAGGACACAACTCAACAAGGAGCATGGTCAAAAGATCAAACGACTTACCATCTTACGATAAGCTTTTGTCCTTTCTTTACAGGCCGCAATGACGTTTACTTTTTTGGCATTTGGTGATGACTTGTTCTTATTCTTCTCCTTCTCTAGACCATTCTTCAAATTAATGATATGATTCTCTTTCTCTCTCTCTTTCCAATTCACACGTTTGACCGAGGATGATGAGGTTGAACGATTGATATTGATCGATTTGTGTTTGTTCAAATTGGAACTGAATGGATTCTCTCTCGCTTTCTCTTTCTCCTGCTTTTTACCGGTGTGAAAGATGACAGGAGAGGATGAGGTTGAACGGTTGATCGATCCGTCCTTGTCCAAATTGGAACTGAATGGATCCTCTCTCGCTTTCTCTTCCTCCTGCTTCTTTCCGGTGTAAAATCTGACAGAGGAAGATGAACGATAGGCCGATTCATCATCCTGGACGATGGCGTCCAAACCGGGGGAACGATATGAGGTTGGCGAGTTATGAGATGGCGATGGGGATGATGGAAATACTGAGGGAGGTTTTTCAGACTACTGACGTTAGTGATTTGAACATTGGCAACAGTTCAGATGATCATTCAAGTCGAGATAAGTGGCGGAAAGAGGGACGCAAGGTAGGTAGGTAGGTAGGTAGGTAGGTAGGTAGGTAGGTAGGTAGGTAGGTAGGTAGGTAGGTAGGTAGGTAGGTAGGTAGGTAGGCAGGTAGATAGGAACCGACGAAGAAGGAAGGAGGCAAAGGCCAGTGAACAAACCAAGTATGGAAAGGAAAAAGGCAAAAAGAGAGCCAACAGGAAGGACAGAAAAGGAAGAAAGAAACAAGGATATCTCAACTCACAACATCCATGATGGTATCGTCATCCTCACCTTGGTCATCGTCATCGTTCACATGCTTGAATTGAGAGATCAGTTGTCGACTTTGACCATCACCCAGAGGAACGGTCGAAAGCCATTGGTTCATGCTTCTTTCGAGCGAGTCGTACTGTCATGGTCAGTGAGAGATCGGGACGGACGGTTTGGACTGGTCAGAGTCAATTGGGAGGATATTCACGTAGGTTGGATGTTTGTTGCTCCCCTCAAAGGCCAAAGGCCAAAGGACGGTAGAGTGGAAAAGGGTGCAACGAGATCCGTAGCTGTGCGACTCACCTCATCCTTGCATATCTCCAACCTGGCCTTTCTCAAGACCAACTTGATATCCTCCCTGGTGTTGTGCAATATCTCATCTAATCGACGATGGACGCGAGTAGGGGCGGATGGGCGAGTGCGAGTTGGCGAGTGCGAGTACTGATGGTGAGCGAGAGGAGAGGAATGATGAAAACAAAGTAGAGTAGAGTGATAGAGCTAAGACTGACATGAATTCCATCTTGTTTCATTTCTGATCCTCCTCGGGTAGCAGTAGCATTTACCTCTTGTTCTTCTTCTTCCGTCCAAGGTTGATACTCTGACATTTCGTCTTCGTCGTAATCGTCGTCATTGTCGTCGAACGTCAATGAAAGACGGTTGGGGGCGTGATGGATGGTGTCTTCGTGTTGCATGGGGGTGAGGGTGTGTGTGGGAGGGGTGAGTGATGAGTCGAGTGTGGTTTGTGAGTACTCTAGTGTGAATGCGGGTGTTTGCTTCCAAGGCCCACTAATCCGACCCCCAAAGGGACCCGGAAAAGTATCCTTCCTTGATGGGCATGGGCGACATAACAACAAGGCTCGCAAGACGACATAGACACTTTGTCAACATGACACTTGAAAATCATAACATGTCGCTGGAACGAGTGACGTCTCAAGACCATGTCGACGACCTGACCGATCTATCAGACCTCGGAGCAGACAAAGGTGAGTTGAAACACCTGGACTGGGTGATATTGACTTGCAGTCGCTCGTCACTTGGTCAAACGTTGGCAACGTGCCGTACTTTACACTTGGTGTAAACCTTGCTTGTTGGTAGCTTTACGTCCTGGGGATGAACGTTGGACGGAAGGGATGTGTGAGTCAGTTTGGGCATTGTTTTCGACCACGACTGAACACCCAGATGGTCCTAAAGTACTAGAGCGATACATGTCCACGTCCACGTCGGATCGAGAGCCCCCTCATATCTACGCTCTCGCAAACATGGTATCTCACGCTATCCTCTCCGGTTGTTCCGACCAGACCGTCTTGTTTTCCGGTCAGAGGTCAGTCCCACATTGATTGTTTGCTTGTTGGCGGTCAGATGCACCTACATGTACATACCTCATCATCTCCCCCATATTGACCTGGGATCCGAACATTGCCTCCCCTCGACGGCTAGGCTAGTCTGAGTCCGATTCTCCTAACGTCCCCCGTCCCCCCGCTGAGACTCATGAACCCCCCCCCCCCCCCCCCTCGAGACAAGTCCTTCCCACATATGTGAGGATGGATATGTTGGTGTAAAACCATTTTCTTCCGGCCTGGCCCTCATATGATTGAACTGGTTCAGATTTGTGGGAATGGTAAATGTCCAAAGGGTTACCGGTCCTGCTCAAATTGTAATGACGACAACACGAACAAATGGGATGATCAAAATACTATGACTCATGCCGTTGTCCATATGAAG